TTTTTGTTTAAATTTATTTTTAGTCTGCTTGTTGGCTTTGGGATATTTTTAGGGAGAGCAGTATATTTCGTAAAAAAGTTTCATTATTAGGTTTGGTTGGAGAATATTAGTCCTGGGACTTATAATAGTTTTTTCAAGCGCAAAAAACCTTTTTTTCCTATTTTTTTTCATATTTTTTCTGGATTTTCCGGAAATCTCGATGTAGATACTGTGTTCTCCAATTCGATTGTTGCATTTTTCAGGACGCCTTGTGACCGCCAGTGCTCTAGTTCCTCTCGTGCCACCACTGCTCTAAATCTTCTTTCATAGTCCTCAAATTTTGTCGCCTTCACCGGGGTTCGAACCGCCTCACCTTCACCTCGAAGTCGCCTTTCTTGGGTCTGCCGCTCTATCCATTGCTCCATCAGATGTCTTGAGGATAAATGTTTTTTTGTTCATAATAAGTTACATATATATTAAAATTTACAAAATTTGAGTCTCTTACAAGTATCAGTTTATTTTGGATTCGAACTGGCTCACCTTGGCATCAAAGATACCTAAGTTGGTCAGTCACTGTAACCACTGCTCCATCAGACCAGCTTGTAGGTACATGTTATAAAGTAAATGATAAGTTGTATATATAAGATGAAATTCAATATATGTATATAAGTCCCCTTTATTGGTGTTTTACTTACTCGCCCTCTTCCGGCACCTTCATCCTCCAACTAACTCTTCCTATGCATCTTCCACTACTACATCAACCCTGTCCATTGTATTTATCTATACATTGCAGGTTTTTTTCGAAATATTCTAAGTGTCAAGGTCGAAATGCGCCACCTCAATGAATCATTTCGAACTAATATTTGGTAATTCCGAAAAATGAAGAATTGAATTTTTCGGGAATAGAACCGAGGAACTTTGAGTTACCTTACCGGTAACCTTACGCTCTCGGCTATTGGGTTGTATTATAAAAACCTTAATGCTTAAATATAAAGTGTTAAAGTGTTATTTTTATACATATATGTTACGAACATGTTTCAAAGTTTTACATGCAATTGGCCGAATGGCTAAGACCTAATCTTAAGTTCACCGATTCAATTCCAGCTAAAGTTAATGAAATTCCATATAAGTTCAAATCAAGTAATTTTTCAGATGCATTTGACTTGATACTTAAATTATTGTAAGTATAAATAAAATATATAGCAACATCATAGAAAACTAGGTTGTATATACATTGTATACAATATATAAGGACTAGGGTAGGAGTAAAAATAATTGTTAATTTTTTTGAAATTGAAATGTATGAATCGATATAATAAAATTCAAAAATAAATCCATAGATAGTATATATATATAATCATGTATGAATCAATATATACATTTATATATCCAATTCCCACACAAACCGAGACAGCTAGTATATATATATATATATATATATATATATATATATATATATAATCATGTATAAATCCATATATACATTTATATATCCAATTCCCTTATAAACCGAGACAGCTAGTATATATATAATCATGTATGAATCGATATATACATTTATATATCCAATACCCGTACAAACTGAGACAGCTAGTAAATATATAATCATGTATAAATCAATATATACATTTATATATCCAATTTCCATACAAACTGAGACAGCTCGTATATATATAATCATGTATAAATCGATATATAAATTCGTGAATAGGTATCCATGGTTCAATCTGTTTGACGACGGTGGCGCCATCTAACACAGATTCATATGAACCCGGTAGTCACTACGTAGTTCCCAGAGAACTGGGAACATTTTTACATAGAGGCGCTGCATGCAAGTACCTTAGGTTCACAGGAATCTTAGTGGATTCCCATTGGATTCCTTTATACGCTATTGGATATATAATTATAATTCCGGTTTTGAAGGAATATCAATATATACATTTATATATCGCTTTATACGCCATTACATATATAATTATGGTCCCGTTTTGAAGGAATATCAATATATACATTTATATATCTAATTCACATACAAACTAGGCAGTTAGGCCATATATAATTATGTGTAAATCAATATATACATTTATATATTGAAAATAAATCCATGGTTTTTTAAACTGAAATCTAAATATTTGAAAATCAAATAAACTCTTTCTCGATTAGTCAGATTTATTAGATGTATATAATATGATCAACAATTAATTAAAACAATTTATTTTTAATAATAATTGAAATATGAAAAATTCTACGTCATTTCGGAAGATATACAACCGCAATTTAATAAACAATTTGCATGCTTTTCCATGTATCGATAGCATCATAGTGTGATGTAGTTATCATATAATAAATAATTAAATTTAATCTAATTATATTAAAATGTTGTAACAATGAATATTACAGTAATATTAAATTTGAGACACTCGTGAAGAATGGTATGAACTTCCCAAAGAACAAGTTTATTTTTTGCAAAAATTCTATTTAGAATTTTATATTGTTTTGACCTTTCGAGTCATTCTGAATCCAATGAGACCTTATTTAGAAAAGGTATGTGAATATGTAAGTCGATTTTCGATCACTTCTAATCGTTTTCTCAGAAAAGACTAGACCGACTTTACAAATTTACATCTAAATCTTAATTTTTATTGATTAGGTCGATTCTTCGCTATTGGGAAGTTCGTGCAACATGCCTTAAGGTAAAATGCCACTTCCACTTCTATTTTGATCTCAAAAGATTTAGAATGTACAGAAAAATCAACTCTTGGCACAATTTTCGGTGTCGGTGTCAAACAATTCAGAATGACTTGAAATGTCGAAAAAACATATAGGAAGAAAATCGGATTTTCTAGCGAAAACTTGAACTTCTTCTTGGGGAAATTAAAAATGATTACATGTACATGTATTATTAACACTAAACCTACCAACACCAGTCAAAATGACCGCTTCAAACTTATATATAACTTAGACTTTTTTAAAATACTATAATGATATTTTCTTCACTCTTTGATTTTAGTTATTTTTCCTATTTTTCGAAAAAAAAAAGTTATGTGGCCGAATCGGTTAATTTGACCGGTGGAAAATAATGCAATTTTGAGAGTCGTTTCCATCGAAATGTAGATGCAAATTTATTCAAAATATACCAAATAAATCAGAACAATTTTGAATGAAGTTTTGGAGTGTGTGTGAAGTCAATAATAAATATATAATAAATGGATTTCCCTATTTGAGAAATGACAAAAAAGTGATTGTTCAATTCTTTAATTGATCCAAAATGTTGCTTATCCCAAATTCCAAAAAATATTCAATAGAAATAAGAGAAAGCAGCCAAAATGTACGGAAAACTATTAGATAAAAATTAGATTAGTGAATTTATGGCAGATCAGATGGCTAAGAAAAGTAATACGAAGTCGAAAATTTGTATAAGGCAACTATATTACATAATTTAAATTGCTTAAATCGTATATAGAGAGACGATGAGTAAAAGCATTTTTGGCAAGAATTTTTGTTTTAGTCAATTTGTTCGATAATCTCAAGAAAATCTAGTTTATATCAACACTATCCATAAGTTTTTCAACAACAAGTGTTAGCTCTTAATATATAATATATATATTAACTTTTAGATAGAGCGCAATTCAATCAAAGTTTTGTAGAGATTTAGCATTGAAAACATTTCAAAAATTTTAAAAATGTTTTAAAAACTTTCAGAGAATTGTTTTTTATCAATTTGGAACCATTTGAAACCCTAGAAACAAAGAAATTTAAAAATGTCCATGTTAAGGACCACCCTAATACATATATATATATATATATATATATTTTTGAATAGTCTTGAATTTGATGTTGATATATATGTTTAATTTGAGTTTAATATTCGGGCGTAACATCAATAAAAATTTTTATTGATGTTACGCCCGAATATTAAACTCAAATTAAACATATATATATATATATATATATATATATATATATATATATATATATATACGTGAATTGTCGGTTGGTTTAGTGTTAACGTTATTAATCATTCGGTAAGAAAAAAATGACTGATTTTCATACAAAAATCATCAATTTGAAGACTTAGAAATTAGGTCATGAATTTTAAGTATGTTAAGTCCGTTAATTGAATAATTGCAAATATTGCTTTAGTTGCACAAATCTTTCAGTTATCGTCTATGTGCATTATGCAGAAAACAAAATTTGTATGAGGAGTTGGTAACCAGAGTAACCAGGGCAAACTAAGACACGATGTGTTATTCAATAAATAATGTTCCAACATAATATTTATACCAGTAATTAAATGAAAGCAAAAAATCTGCTAGGACTCTAACATTTGTTTCATGTTTTATGAAAACCCAGAGTGGACTGGGGCTTCCATTTCATTTATGTAACGAAAAAATGAAGTAAATAATGTAAAGATAAATTTTAAGTAGTGTGTAAACTATTTGGTGATAATATGAAAACGTTCAGGTATATTTAGAATAGTCCACTCTGGTTACCAACTCATCATACGCTTTATATAAGTACTATACACCTAAGTCTGTTTTTACACGGTCTTTTTGTGCACGGTTTTGATATAACACGGTTTGAAAATTGAATATTTTTAGTTTTTTTACACGATTTTATTCCATTCAGCACGATTTGAAATTTTATGTACTTAATTTTTTTTGTCAAATTTAATTTTCTGCAATGTATGTTCATATCACAAAAAGTATTTATGAAAGAAAAAAGTCTGAAACCATCGATAGTATCGATAGTTTGCGAACACTAGCTTAAAGATTTAAGTGAATTCCCCTTTAGTGCGTACAAACAATTTTTACTGGTCAAAGCAAATGTGAATAACACTAATTTAGGGGAATTATTATTAAAATAAACATGAATTCTTGTTCTTGAAAATTATTGTTTTTCACTAATTTTAATAGGTTTTAGAGAGTAGGACAAATCACCCATTATTGTATAAGATCAATGTCTTTTTTTACACGTTTTTTTTTTACACGGTTTCTTCTGGAACCAATCTCCGTGTAAAAACAGACTTAGGTGTATATATTAATTAAAAATGTAAATATCTACTTATCATAAGGAACATCCATATATCAATTAATAAAACTCTTTGGCCTCTCAAAGATCCTCCTAGACTTCCATTAGGCACTCATATGCTGCTTAACATATTCGATGGCATCTTGCAGTATCAGTTTCTCCGAATACCGTAATTGGATGGCACATCTGGTGGCAGGACTCAATTTTACCCCATCACTGGTTTCGTTTGCTTTGGCACTATTTTCTAAAGCTAATCTATCAGCCTCTAAAGTCGTAGGATACACCGATAGCAATATTTGCAATCTGGTCAAAAGGAAAGTCCAGACCTTTTTCTCCAATTCGTGGTCTAATGCACAGTCCATGTGGAAGAGGTCTTCTATGTGGTCACTTGATAACCAGTGATCTAATTGTTCTGTAACAATAAAAAACAAAATTATTAATGTTATATCTCATTGGATGTGATTTTTATTTTTATACTAGCTGACCCGGCAAACGTTGTTTTGCTAAGTAAGGTATATTCTAAACAATTTCTAGAGAATCAAAAATATTAATACTCTAAGTGTATAAGGATGCGTTGTTTCAATGCTATATACAATAAGGTATTAAAAAAACAATAAACCCCATTAGTTTGTCTATATTTTGTCAATACAATCAAACTGGAAGTTTTATGCACTTTCTATAAAAAAACATGGTATAATCCAATCCAAGTCTTCTTTGGTCTTTCGACTTGTTGATTACGTCTCAAGTTTTTCAGATTTTTTTTGGATTCTGGATTTTGTGTATAATTGTAAATAATACTACTGAGCTTATACAAAATTTTCAAATCTTTGCGAAGAGAGATAGTAAATAAATTAAGTATTTCTTCTTTGACCTGCTTTTTGAAAAGTTTCAAGTAACATTCAATGAATTAAAGTAAATTTAATAAAAAGTATATATGTAAAGCAGGGCGAGGCACAAAGGTCCAATTTGACTTAAAAATCAAACCAATTATATCACAGCAAATAACACATTTCAAATGAACAAATATCTGACTACGTTCAGTAAAACTGCCAGCTACCTCATCATTGTAGAAATGTGTTTTTTTGCTGTCTTTCAAAAATTTGTTATCTAGACCTTTTTACCCCATAGACGGGGTAACTTGGAACGGCCAGGTGGCAAACAGGTTGAATGTCTTATTTTAATTCTAAAGGTATTTTACAAAATAATTACATTTTTAACTAATGCTAAAAAACTACTTTTATTATGGATTTTCAAAGATCACCGTTTATCTCGCGATAGCAAAGTCATAAGAATCAATGTTATAGCTGGTTATACATCTTTTCCTCTCTACTTTCAAATATTGTTGCTAATAATGCTTAACTTTACTGGTTTTTGACACATCGGTGGTGGACCTTTTTAACCCCGAAATTTCATATATTACTATCTATTCTTCGATAAATTCTGGGAAATTATAACTGGGAAAATGCTATTCGACAAAATGTGCCTTTGATCGATACCAAATTTATGTTCTGAATTTAAATAACATAAATAAAAAATAATATAATCTAAAAAATGTTTAATGTGCTATAAATACCAATGAGTATATAATTATACAAATGAGATCTTTCAAAGCACCGTGTTTGGGAAAAATATGTGAAAAAGTGCATTTTCATATTAACATTTCAAAAAAGTTGATATTTTGAGTTTCTAGTAACACTTGCAATCCGTTCAATAACGTTTTTGTGTATAAATAAAACTACAAACAAAACTACTTACTACAATTCAATCATAAGTAAATGATATTCACGTAAAACATCCTATTAGACGTAATTGAATATCATCTATCAAAAACGTTTGACATTTGACATATTAGCCACCGTCCATTCTTTTATTTAAATTGCGCTTCTACAAAAATGTTCAAATTAAAAATGTAAAGTTTCTACGCGATTTTGAAATAACATCTCACCTTTCCGACAACCTACTGATTAGCACGAACTCTGGCTAAATCGGTTCAGCCGTTTTTGAGTTTTAGCGGATCATTTTATCGAGAGCTCCATTTTTATATATAAGAAGATTACCTTGGTTCATATTAAAGACTCTGGCGTATGCCAATAATTGCGGTGTTATTGGTGCTGGATTTTTAGCCACACATAAAGTGCTGGTGCCACCACATGGTAAAGACAGGTCTATCAAGGCTTTTAATCTTGAAGTGGCCAAAGGGTCACTTGGACTAATTCCTAATCGTATACTGACAGTGTCTCCTGAATTATCCATGCAGACAAATCTGAAAAAATAAATAAAAATAAAATATATTGCAAGGGATATTTACACAGAATAAAACTAGTGGTGTATGGCATCGTGCCTTAAGCCAAATTACTAAAAGTTCTCGTACCAGAATTAAATATTCGAGGTAAAAAAATTAATAATGAGTAAATATTGATCAATGATTACTAATAATTGTTTTGAATCTTTTCAAAGAGATAATTATAATTACTATATGTGACGATCTTATTGCTCAAAACTCTTGAAAATGTTTATATTAACAAGAGTTGCTGAATAAATCCAACCGAGGATATATTTCTTACGAGTTGAATAACGCATATAAAATATATCACAATTATAAAATATGCTAAATTTCGATTCTTTTACTTTAAGTCGATATTGGAAAATTGATGAAATTTGCCTTGAGGTAAAATTTGTTATATAATTAGTTTAATTAATTTTTTTTTACCCATTGTGTACGAGTAGTTCAGCATTAGATCTCTCTCCGTAGAATATGAACACTTGATCACCTGGTTTGTAGTCGTCTAAAGCTGAATATTGTACTGTCTGATTTTCTGGGATATAATCTGTTGTGATCTGAAAGAAATTAAATAATAAATCAATTTTGGATAATAAAATCACATGAATATATAAAATATATTTAGAGTGTCTGGAAATAAGGAATTTAAGAGATCCAGGTAGAATAAAAAGTCTTCTTTGTGTTAAAAAAAATATCACAAGTCTATTGATAATTAAAGCAAATTTAAGACAATTTATCACTTGTTTAATAATAATAAGATGGATATGTTTGGTATATGTTTCTTTTCACTATTTTCAAACGCAATCAGTACTGAAGAATCCATATGAGCTGTTGTGATGATACTACTTAACAACTTAGGCTTTTCTAGATAGCAACCCAATAGTCATCATATCAACTATTGATATAATTTGTTTTATTGGATTTTTTTCTTATATATAAATCACATATGTTTAATTTAATGCAACAATGTCGTAAAGAGCTAGTTTTTACCACAAACATTTTTTTGTTAATTATTCTCAAGAGAATGTAGAAATCTCACTACTACTTGATATCAGGTTGTCCGTAACAAGGGTTTGAGCCTGGACTCCGTGATAACTTTATTTATGTACATATGCGTTTGTATATATGCATAACTAGGAGGCCACAAGAATACTTTAAATCAGATATACAAAAAATATTTGGGTTCGTTTGCTTTGATGATATAAAAATTGCATTTCAGTATAAACAAGTATAATTTGTTTTGTAAAAATCAAAAAATATGAACAGTACTATATCATGTATATTTTGATAGTTATTTTCATTCAAACAGGTAACAGTTTCGCAAAAAAGTGTGACATATTTCATAAAAATACTAATTGTTTTCATAATAATTAAATAAAGTAAGAACCAAGTGAAGGTTCGCGAAAATTAAGTGAAACTTTGTCTAAATCAATTTGTTTTTCAATATAATCAATTAGAATCATTAATCTAATCTAAATCAATGTCATAATTGCAGTCTGAGCTTGATTTATATAAATCTATATCTTTTTTTTTATTAATATTTTATATAGGCAATTTTATCTGGAAAAACAAGTTTAAGTTGTGATTGTGATTGCTATTTAGAATATCGTCAGCTCGATATCAAGCAGTATGAAACTAAATTTTCAATGCAGGTTATAGATCTCAAATGAAAAATGTCTTTCGTGGACATTGCTGCAACAATAACAATTTTTATTGCACGACAACACCATTCGATATATCAAATGATATATGTATATTCGGCACATAAAAAAGAGTGGTTGACCGTTGGGTTGCCCGATAGAGCAAAAAACTAGGTTAGACTGTATGATAGTAAGCATAGACGCAACTCATAGACGCATTTCAGATCGCTGGTAAAACAAAAAAAAATTAAGTAACATTACTTCTTCAAATTAAGTAAGAAATGGTTTGTTAAGTGATTTCTTAAAAATCTTAAGAGTTTTCAAGTAAAAATTTACGATATAAATGAATTCTTTAATAAAATTTTAATTTTTTTTATTTCAATATTTATTACAACTGTTAAATAATTAAAAATCTAGTAATGTTGATAAAATGATAACATAAATTTAAATAAATAAGAGTGTAAAGGATAGAATTTACATGAAATTTTAATTATATAAGATTAAGGTAACTATCATATTTGGTAACTTTTCTTAACAACATGTTTAAATAAGATAATAATAGTAGTAAGTGATATATATTTATAATACTTATTAATAGTATATATTGTATAAGTTTTATCTGAATTTTCTCATTTGTGTTCTTTGGCTTATAATTTGCTCATTATACTATAAGGTTTAATTTTCCATTATATTATTGCCATAGGCGTTAAATAAATATATAAAATAAAAAATACATAACAATTTTAAAGCAATATTAGACAAAATGTAGGAGTTAACTTACAAACATTTAGTGAACAAAATTACAAGTATTCTGTCCATAACTATTAGATTGAATAATCTATTATAGTATGACTATGAATAATTTGATAATTTTCATCTCCAATTACCTGTCCATCTTTGTAGTTGGCCATGTCCCAGAGTGGGATCAGGGCCGGGACCATGACGCCTCCTTCGCCCACAGGAACAGAATTCTGGCGGGTCATCACGGTTGACACGGCCCAACTGGAAAATAAAAAAAAAAATATTAGTTAGTCAACATTTTTTTTATATTGTTGAAGAGCAATAAGATTAAATTGATATTCTATTACTTGAGTACAAAATAATCATGATACATAAGAGATGACCCACCGACGAGGGTCACTATTTTCTTAGAGAAGTTTCCTTTCGAGTTTTTTGTTGTAAAAATTATACAGTAAGGGAAGTATTGTTAATTTATATTTATATGTAAAATATGCTTTAATAAAATAAAGCACGTCAATAGTTTCAACTTTATTAGCATTTACTTTACTTAAAATACAGTTTACAAAAAATTAATACTTTTCTTACGTATTTGCAAAATAGGCTATAACATAATATTTTCTCCTTAGTTATAATAGAATCACATAAATAAAAAATTAACAATACTATATGCTTATAATTTTTGATTAATGAGATACAAAACTTATACATCCATGATAATTGAAATTGAATTTGTATCTATCAAAATCAACAAAAACAAAATATTGAATACAATCATATTTCTTCTAGATAACTCGTTTGAATATATCTAGAGCAAACAATCTAATGAAAGTACTAATCTAATTATATGAAATAATAAATTAAATGAATAATGGTGTCATAATTAGGCGAAAAAGTAATTCTATTTGATAGACAAATTATTATTAATCGCAATGGAGATGATGATGGATGATGTGATATTACGAGTACTAATAAGTAATAATATCTCTAACTCAATAGCTGGAGGCATCTTTGTGATTACTTGTTTATGTGGATTTTCAAATTATAAGTTATTCATTTAGAGATAGTTCAGTACTAATTTTTACCATAATATATTACCGTTGGTTTTCAATTACCAATATCGGTACCAAAGATCAGTTACATCACATAGTTTCCGCATTTCTATCTCGTAGGCATAACATATAAACTGTTATCCTAACTGTATGTAAAATATAGCCTGAAGGATACGAATTCATTAATAGTTAGAGAGATAGTAATAATAGTTGAAATGTTTGCTGAAACTCTATTCGGACGTATTTTCATTTTATTATATCGGCCATGAAGGCGGCAATCTTCATGGCATTGAGCTTTTACAACCTGTAGAAGAGGTGGCTGATTTGTATCGGAGTTAACTTTCTCAATTCTAAAAGTAAAGTTTGCGTAACAACATATGTAATAAATAATCAATTATACTTTTTTCAATTAGAACTTAATGACAAATCATTAGAGTAATAATAACTTGCAACAAATACAAAAATTATTCCAACAAATCAGTGTTTCATACAACTACTACAGGTATCGAGGCAGTCATGTATCTTGCCTCAAGACAAAATACCACTTACATCTAGTCCACTTACACACACATCCCATACCAAGTATTAATTTTCTTCTCTAATGCATTTATATTTATAAGTTCTATTCAAAGTGGATTTTCTCTCCCGCGTCGCTAAAGTTATTCCATTATGGTTTTGTGTGCATTTTTTCAATCATTTCATTTCATTATGTTATTGTTGTTACTATTACTATTACTAGTACTATATATTGTTGTTATTGTAAGAGAATGAATTAATTATAATGACGAATTATTTATCGTGTATTGTTGCATTGTCGTATGATCGATGTAGGGCAGAGAAACGCGTCGACTCTATCTTTCTACTCTAGACTATAAGAACTATTTATTATTAATATTCGATGAGATTTCATTATTATTTATGCCCGAGAGAGGTAAAAGACTTAAAAAAATAGTGTTGAGAATGGTATCAGAGATCCGCATTTGTTGGTGAAATTTGTAATATCAGAAGGTGCAAAAAATGCTTTTTTAGAGAAACAGCAAAAAAACACATTTCAATAAAGATGAAACAGCTGGGAATTTTACTGAACATAGTTCGATGGTTGTTTGTTGTATATGTATATTTGTGTATATATTAAGCTATATACTTGTAAAATATTTGTATCAGGCTAACAGAAGCTCGTGTTCAAATTAATTTCTTTATCGACAATTAAGCGTTTGTACTTATATGTATCTTAATCCTATTATCCTACTATCATCATACATATATAAAGAATTTTTTGACGCCTTCAAAAAATATTTGTTTTTTTTCAGTTTCTGACATATTTCAAAAAATATTTGTATTATACAAACAGAAGCTCGTGTTCAAATTAATATTACGAATTTCATGCAATTTTGAAAGGCCGTAGAAAAAAAACTAACAATGATTTTACTATATTCTTTTTCCCAATGATTAATTGATTTTTTGAGAATATAAAAAAAAATAAAAATTAGAAATAGTCATAATTTTTTTTCTAATAGGTGAAGCAATAGGGAGTCTCAAAATGATTCCTGGTGAAATATTTTCTAACTGAACCATAAATTAAAATATAACCTTAAATAATTTCAAGTTAAACTTGAAATTCTCATAGGCAAGTCACACTAATAATTTCTTTTTTGTCGGCAAGATATAGTATTATTTATGCTACAGTTTAAAAAAAAAAAGTTAATAAGTTTTTTCATAGATATTTCTAATGCCTTTGGAAATTCTTTAAGAATTTTCCCAGACCTTATTTAAGAGTCATCAAGCGATTGTAGAAATGATTAAAATGAGTAAAGTAATAATCAGAACAAAATTTTGAATTATTCTAAGTTATATTAATCCTTTCGTTACCAGGGTCGTCTATGGACGACATTCGCATGACGATCTGCTTTCAATGTAATTTTTTTTATAAAATAAGGAATATTATATACAGGCTCAGTACTCTTCTTGAACAATTTTATCAAGTGTCACACAATTTTTCTTGCTAATTTTTCTTTCATTTCTCAACGTTTCAAGTAATTCTGAATCGTTTCAGATGACAATTGAGAAATAGTGTGTATGTAAACCGATTTTTGAACTTTCGAAAGAACGTTTCCTGACAAACGGCTGAAGCAATTTCAAAAAATTAAAAGCGCCAATTAAAGATCTAATTTTGGCCGACATACACATATACAACTTTGGTGTCAAATGATTCAGAATGACTTGAAATTAAAAAATAAAATTCACAAATCGAATTTATAGACGAAATCATTAACTTTGGATGATTATAGGTCGTTTAATATATTATTCTTTAAAAGTGCAATCTTTACACCCGCAAAAACAGAGTTAAATTAATTTCATATTTTCATAATTAATAATCATATTTAAAAAAAAAATTTAATCTATTTTTTTCAATCCTTTATTTTTAACCATGTAGCCCGACGTAGTGTAATGGTTAAGCTAGCATAAACTAGTCATGGGTTTCGTAATAACCAGCTCGATATCAAGCAATATGATGTCAAATTTCTGCTTGAGATCATAGATCTCAAAGGGAAACTCTTGTGAAAATCGCCTTTTGTGGACGTATCTGATATATAAAAAAGAAGAGAAGTTGACCGTTGGTTTGCCCTCTCTAGAAAAATACTAGGTTAGGATGTACGTTAACAAGCAGAGCTAATAAAACACTCAATTTTAAAATCTGTTAAAACACTTTTGATAAATTTAACATTATTTTTTTCAGCTGCATTGCAAATTCTTACTACTCAACAAAACTCTTATTTTCGTTCCATTTCTACGCGGAACGAAATCGCCTGTTGTACATATATCCGTCCATGTCTTGTACAGTTGTCTGAACAATTGTTCATGTACCAGAAGTGGTCAATAAAATTACTGCATCGATTTCAATACCCACCGATGACCATTGTAATGTAATAATGTTGTTCTTGTGTTTTATACAAGAACCTACCATAATAATTGCAGTATATTATGTATTACCATGTCTTGTGAAGTGGTGATATACAGTGCAGTCATCCACATAGACAACCAATGTATAGAGTGGTTAACAATGAAAAATTTCCGCATTTTCTAATATCTTCGCATGAAAGGGTTTTGTGTTGAGGAATTTGTGGTGTTAAATAACCAAATAACAGCCATGGTATAATTGGAGAATGTAAATTTAGTGTCTGATGCATAATATATCACTCCGGTACAACTCTTCCCTCGGAGTGAATCCGAGGGGAGTTGTCTCCCAGGATTTGTCATATCCGACTTCCCTAAACTGGTACTAAATCTGTTAACATGTGCAAATATTTGCTTGCGATTTTTTACTAATACAAATTTTTGGGTCGAAGAAAGTGTTTTTTTTTTTCTCGTCTCACAGCCAGTTTTAGGACTTTCCGGGTATATAATGTCTCAAAATAATGCTATTTTGTATTATATATTCTGTGATATGATAAGGTTTTTTCGTAAATGAGCTCTTTCAATGGTATACAACCAGCTAAAAAATATTTAGTATTATATTATAATTTTTACACAATTATGATTTTAATTTTAATGTGTAAAAGTAATAGTATGCTAATCAAACTACCTGATGTATAATTAATTCTCGAAAAGGAAATAATAAAAAAACGTGATTATTATTTTGTGAATAATATTATACACAAAAATTTGTTCTCATTTCATATATAAGGTTCACTGCATTATTTTCATACAAAAATAAATATTTTACAGAATTCTATATTTTCTCTTCAAAAATAATTACAAAATTGATTTTGATTCCTAAGTTTTTTGTCAATTTGAGATTTGTATGTATATTGAAATGCATAAAATCGTAATTATTAATAATAAAATGAACAAAAATGTTTGAACTATTTGTAAACTATTTCCAAAGTCTTAATAAATCCTTTGATATGTTAACAACACACTAGAAAACACATTTATGTCAAGTATTATGTTTCGAAGTTGTTGGAATTGTGTTGTTAAGTGAATATAACTCCTCTCTGAATAGGATTCAAATCCTAACCGATCCGGCTTCGGATATGATAAGCCCATCTCTAATGCATATACTTAAGTTTGACCATACATTGAATCTTAATAGTATAGAAAATCATAGTTTTATCAATTATCAATTCTAATTCTATATATTAATTTTTCTGGTTTATTCGTATTTTTGCACTTTGGATTTCTCGTCGTCCATCGATGCATATAATTATTTGA